GGCAATGGGAATTTGTGAAGAAATGAACTTGTATCAACCCATCACCTCTGATGTGAAGAGTATGCAACAATAACGTGAGAATTTTAATGTTGTTCGTGTTCTCACAAGGTTTTCACCAGAGTATGAACCCGTTCAAGCACATATTTTGGGTAGCCCGACACTTCCCTCTCTTCATGATATGTTATCCAGACTCCAGCGTGCTACTCTATCTTGTGGCGCTTCAAGGGGTGCTTCAAGTGGTGTCATTACTCCTCCTAGCGGTGAATGTTCTGCCTTAGTTGTCTCCCAGGGTGGCTTTCAGTCTTCTCGTAGCTGTGGCGGTCATTTTACCCGTGGTTGTGGCCGTAGCAGAGGCAAAGACTCGAAACTCTATACTCACTGTGGTTTTACTAATCACTCTATCAACTACTATTGGGCTCTTCATGGGAAACCGCCACCTTATCCCTATTCACATCACGTGACCTCTAATGAAAGGGATTCTTCTTTCTCTGCCACACCAACTGCTTCACACTTGGCTGTTGAGCCTGCTTTCACTGCCACACCAACTGCTTCACACTCGGTTGTTGAGCCTGCCATGGTCACGATTCCCCGTGATGAGTATGCTCAGCTTATGTCTCAACAATGGCCCTCCCCTCATCTTCCATGGTTTCCTTTGCCCAATCAGGTAGTGCACCTACATGTCGCTTGTCCTCTCGTCAGAGTCTCAGGATTCTTGACTCTGGCGCATCCAATCACATGACTGGTAGTTTTCATCTCTTATCTGAATTTCATTATGTTCCTTCCTCTCAAAGTGTTACTCTTGCTAATGGCTCATCAACTAAAGTTTTGGGTTTAGGAACCACTCATCTCACCTCTTCTATGTTCCTCTCCTCTGTATTATATGTTCCTCAATTCCCTTTTAATTTGATATCTATTAGTAAAATTACTAAATCTCTTAATTGCTCCGTTACATTTTATCCCGCATGTTGTATTTTTTAGGATCTCATGACGAAGAAGAAGATTGGTACGGGACATGAACTAGGTGGCTTGTATTACTTTGATTTTGCACCATCTCCCACGGCTTTTCAATCATCTTTGTGTTCTTTCCAGTGGCACTGTTGTCTCGGCCACCCATCATTATCAGTTTTGCAACGTCAAGTCCCCAGTCTTAGTCGTGTTGAGTCCATGTCTTGTAAAACATGTCAGCTTAGTAAGCATTGTCATGTATCCTTCAAACCTAGAGCTACTAATCGTGTTGCTAGTTCTTTTCAGTTAGTTCATTCAGATATATGGGGGCCAATAAAACATATTTCTATTAATGGATTTCGTTATTTTGTGACATTTGTGGGCGATCATTCTCATATGACTTGGTTGTTTCTAATGAAAAATCGTTCTGAATTATTCTCTATTTTTAAAATATTTCGCAAAGAAATAAAAACTCAATTTGGGTGTTCCATTAAAGTTTTACGTTCTGACAATGCTAAAGAAAATGGAGTAGCTGAACGTAAAAAATCGTCATATCCTGGAAGTGTGTCGTGCCTTTTATTTCATATGCATGTTCCTAAACGTTTTTGGAGTAGTGATGTTCTTACGGCCTGTCATCTTTTTAATCGGATGCCCTCGTCGGTGTTACAAGGGAAATCTCTTCATTTTGTTCTATTTTCCAACTCCGAGTCGTTTAATCTTACTCCCCAGGTCTTTGGATGTGTGTGTTATGTCCATAACCTTGGACCCGGTCTTGACAAACTCAACTCTCGTGCCACTAAGTGTGTTTTTCTTGGGTATTCTTGCCCTTAGAAGGATTATCCTTGCTACAGTCCTCATTTTCAACACTATTTCACTAGTGTTGATGTCTCCTTTTCTGAGTCTCTCCCATATTTTTCTGATTCTACTCCTCTTCTCGATATTTCTCCTGAGCCACCTATGCCAACTGTTCCCTCTCTATTCCCTGCTCCCGCACCTCCTCGCTCCGTTGTCCCCAGTGTTATTAAAGGCTCAAGGTGCACCAAGGCGTTAGAGGTCTAGGCGCGAGGCGCGCGCCTGAGTGAAGTGAGGCGCACAATTGAAATTTTAAACTATCATAATAGCATTCATATCTCACAAGTCATATCAATATTCTAAAAAATTAATATCAAATATAAAAAAGTAAATCCATCAACTATATAAGCATTTAAGAACCATAAAACATAGCACAAATTTGTTTTCTTGAAAGGCAAAACGGAGTACAAAACGAATTAAATCGATTAAAAAAAAAAAACTGTTTACAAGAAAAGAAAAGAAAAAAAAAAAAAAAAAAAAAAATAGAGCCAAAAAAAAAAAAGGCAGAGACAAAAGAAGTAGATGAGAAAAGAGAGTGTTAAAGAAGAAAAGGGAGAAAAAAATAGAGCCCAAAAAAAAAAAAGGACAAAGAGAAGAGAACCAGACAGAGAGAAAGAAGTAAACAAAGATGAAAAGAGAGGAGTAGAGGAGAAGAGGGGAGAGAGAAGCAGAGGAGAAGAGAGAGAAGAAGAAGAAAGAACTAACATGGCTTTATCATTCATCACTACCACTAGGACTTCGTCGTTGCTCTCACAGTCTTGCTCTTTCTATGTTCGGTCTTGGACTTTCTTATTTGTTTATTCTTTTGAACAAAAGATCCTTCTATGATATGCTTAGGCTTTCTTATTTGTTTATTAAGTTGCCAAAAGTACCCTTTTTGGCTTAAGAGAGAGAACAATCATTTAAAACAAAAAACAAAAAACAGCGAGGCGCGCCTAGGCGCACCTTGACAAATAGGATGAGGCGCAACTGAGGCGCGCGCCTAGTAAACATTAGTGAGCCTGGGATGACAATAGGCGCTAGACCTGTGCCTCGAGCCTAGGCACGCCTAGGTGTGCCTTTAACAACACTGGTTGTCCCATTGCAAGTTTATACTCGACAACTTCGACCGCCTACTTCGCTCCCTCTATCTCCTTCAGAGTCTTCAGATCCGACTCCATCTACTATGCCTGATGATTTGCCTATTGCTCTCCGTAAAGGTTCTCGGTCATGTGTTACTACACATCCCATTTCTAACTTTGTCTCCTACTATAATGTTTCATCCTCTTTATCTCGGTTTTTTATCCAAAGTGTCTACTACTTTTGTTCCCAAGACTTTGCAGGATGCTCTCTCTAATTTGGATTGGTGCCAAGCCATGGTAAGATGAAATGGATGCCCTTCACCGTAATCGGACATGGGATCTTGTTCCCTTACCTCCGGGCTCAGACATGGGATCTTGTTCCCTTACCTCCGGGCTCCAAAACGGTTGGTTGTAAGTGGGTCTACACTATTAAATACCTTCACGATGGGTCTATTGAGCGGTTGAAGGCTCGTCTAGTGGCAAAAGGGTACACTCAAACTTATGGTGTTGATTATGATAAGACTTTTTCCCCTGTTGCTAAGATTTCTTCTATTCGGGTACTTATTTCCATTGCTGCCGATTGTAACTGGCCATTGTTTCAATTGGATGTCAAAAATGCCTTCTTACATGGTGACTTGGTTGAAGAAGTTTATATGGAGCAACCACCTGGGTTTGTTGCTCAGGGGGAGTATCGTGACACTGTTTGTTGGCTTAAAAAGGCCCTGTATGGATTGAAACAATCTCCACGGGTTTGGTTTGGAAAATTCTCTGAGGAGGCATTAGAATTTGGTCTAAGCAGATGTAAGACCGATCATTTGGTATTTCACCAGCGCAGTAAAGCTGGCTTCATTTTTCTTGTGGTGTATGTAGATGATATTGTGATCACAGGTAATGATTCTGAAGGCATTGCTAAGTTGAATTTATTTCTGCAAAATCGATTCCATACTAAAGACTTGGGTAAACTTACATATTTTTTGGGTATTGAAGTTGCAAGATCCAAGGAAGGTATAAGTTTATCTCAACGAAAATATGTGTTGGGACTTATTAGAAGAAACAGGTATGTTAGATGGTCATTCGATTGATGCTCCTATGGATTCAAATACAAAACTTGTGTCTGATGAGGGTGATCTATTTAATGACCCGAGCAGATTTCATCACCTTGTTGGGAAATTAATTTATCTTACTATCACTCGACCTGATATTTCATATGCAGTTGATGTGGTAAGTCATTTCATGGGAGCTCCTAGAATGCCACATTGGAATGCTATTCTTCGGATTATCCGATATCTCAAGCAAGCTCCTGGTTTTGGGTTGCTATATAAATTAAATGGTCATCTCAGGGTGTAAGGTTTTACAAATGCTGACCGAGCTGGTTCTCCTTCAGATAGGAGATCTACTACAGGCTACTGCACATTTGTAGGAAGAAATCTTGTTACATGGAGAAGTAAAAAGCAAACGGTAGTAGCTCGATCTAGTGTTGAAGCTGAGTACAGGGCAATGGCCCATACCACTAGTGAGTTGACATGGATACAACATTTTCTAAAAGAACTTGGGTTGACAGTTGAAGCTCCTATTCCATTGTTCTGTGTTTCAAGCAAATGTTCACATAGCATCAAATCCTGTGTTTCATGAGAGGAACAAACATATTGAAGTTGATTGTCACTTCATTCGATAAAAAATATTAAGTGGGAGCATCTCTACTCCATTTGTGAAGTCTGAAGATCAATTAGCTGATATGTTTACCGAAGTGTTGGGTCATAACCGGTTAAGGACTATTTGTTCCAAGCTGGGATTATTTGATATATATTCTCCAGCTTGAGGGGGAGTGTTAGAATGTTTATGTATATATATATTTATTTATGTTGGGTCATGCTGTAATTACACATAGTTGGTAGGGTCATTATGTAATTAGCTCATTCCTGTACCTTTATATAACCTTCGTTTGTCTTAGGGTCGAAATACATATATGAAATACAAATGCAGCCTCCATCATCTCTCTCTCTCTCTCTCTCTCTCTCTCTCTCGTCAGTTTGAACACATATAAGTTCCATACAAAAAAACAAAAACAACAAAAAATAAATAAATTGCCAACTATGAACGTCAGTTGTTGCATGATTAACATTTCATCTTTTTGCCACTCACCTGGCCAATATTATATGAGATCATTCGCAGGAGGGACAGAGAAATGTCTTCAGGTCTGTAGTCCTCAAGCTCCTTATTTTCAGAAATGGCCTTGCCAAAACTAGAAGCAATTGTTGATGCAGAGAGACCAATCTGGGAATTTTGTAAAAAATGATATGTTTAACATTAATGGGCTAGTAGATGGAAACTTTAGAAAAACATCATCCATACAGAGACATGCAGGCGAAGTAATAGACAGAACACAATATCTTAGTTGTGTCCTTAAGAATATAGATACAAAAGATAGGAATGTAATGATAGAGGGGATGGAATCGAAGATTTTGACATTTCACAATAACATTTACCTTTGAATAATCCATACCACCATAAATGTCACCCACAAGCATATCTATGGTTCTATTATCTCCCCGTTGGCTCAGCTCTAGCAATTCATCAAAACTGAAATTGAGGCGAATTTAAGAACTTAATTATTTCCATGTGCAGAAGAAAAAACTATAGAATAATATAAAATTATAAAATGACCAGAAAACCAAAATGACCTCTTGCACTTTGTTAATAGCCTTCCCAAACCCCAATAAGTACCACCGCCAACATTTGTCCCACTAACCCGCTGAAACTTTCCATCCCCGTCAACCTGTATCAGTGGACAGTTGAGAGATTTAGCCGAAACCTAAGTAGACTATATGACACCTGAGCTCAACAGTAAATACAAGAACCAATTAAAGGAGATGGTACCTTGATCATACTAACACCAGATCCAATATTAACAAGAAGATATGGAAATAAATCATTATGGTCAATCTGCACAAACTCTTTCTGACCTTCCATGTGCGTGAAAGCTTCATGACGGATTGCCTACTCAAACCACAGGTATAAGATGAGATTCTCCGTGAAGGAAAATAATTAAATTGAAAAATTAGTAAAAAAATTTGCATTCGAAGTTTAGAAACTAAAAAGAAATTGATAAAATCAAATCCTGCACAGACAGCTTATTAGTCAATAAGGGGAAATAACTAGATAACAGTGACATGTTCAAATTAACATTTGTAAAGACAACACTACAATGACAGGTTACCATCACTATATTATAAGTTACAAATTTTCTGAATAGACTCACTAACCTATATTACAGCTTTTCTCAGGCAAAATTAAAGCACAAAATCAATCAAGTAGATGCATTGCATCTGAACAGTTTCCTACTTCTCAGTATAGCAGGTGAAACTGAAGAAACAAAATACATAATACCTTCAGTTAATGACATTACAGCATTACTGAGAGAAAGGAGAGCAAATAAGAGACCATTGTAAGTAGAATCTTTAGTCACTTTTTGGCAATACATCTACCAATAATACATGATCTTGGCATGTATAGCAAAAGATATCTAGAGAAAAAATCAACCACAAGTTAATAGAACGCCATGAAAATTAAAATACGTTCCAAAAAACTCTTATCCTTTAGCCAACTTCAACAATTTGATAAATTCAACTTGGACGACTCTTCACTAGATATGCTTCTTTCCATATTAATAATTTTGAGCTCCAAATAAACTTTATACAGATCCATGCCAAATCTGCACAACCACGGGAATACATTTTATGGAAATATTAGTTCTGTCACCTCTGTATGCTACTTTATTTTCTTTCGTTTTTTTATTTTCTAGTTTTTTTCTATGTGAGTACAAGATAGGTAATCATTATCTTCTTTTTACTTTAAAGCCATTTACCATTCGGTAACATCCTTTTTCAAAATTAATTAGGTCAAACTGTCATGAATCCCCACATCCTCAACAATAATTATTAAGCACGGTTATCATGAAAGAACAAGAAAGTAAGTATATATGCAACGAGCAGCTCTTCATATATCTCGAAAGAAAAACTGTGTGATGCGATAAAAGAAGCAATAACATCATCAGTATAAAAATAGTTGGGTTCAGCATCAATTAAGAACATTGAACAGCAAAGCCAAACAAAAAGCAAAAAACAAAAAGAAAACAAAAACCAAAAAAAGGGAAAAAGAAGAAGAAAAAAAAAAATTAGCAAATCACCAACCATAATATCTAACAAATCCTTAAAAGTAGTTAGAACCAGAACTGCACCTTGAGCAAAAAATTAGCTCCAGCCACAAGACAATTCATTTCATCTTCTTTTTCTATACTAACCCCAAGTCTTTCTTTAAAGAGATCTGCGAATTTGTATGCCCCACCACCTGTAGCCTTTTCACAACTTTAAACTAGTAAATGGACATACACAAATCAAAAGTAAATCAAAATCCACGTATCAAAGAAAAAAAAAAAAAATCAAAATGCAGTCACCAAATCCGAAAGTGGACCACAAGACCATTATTTATTTCTCGCAGTACACCCATTATTTGAAATAGAGAAGTTAAGGAACTTATTATGTGCCTATAATGTAAAGCTATGTTCTACGAGGTCACAACAAATTCTTTGTAGCTATCTACCTAAATCCTCATTCTACGAAAACAATAATGAAATTTTAAGTCATTTAAAATACCTCGTTAAAAAGTAATCATAAATGATAAGCCCTTGGACTGTGGCTCAGTCATTGGTGTTTCATACCCAAAATCTAGCTGGCTATGCACTATCCTGTTGGTAAGGTTTACTGGGCATTGTTACTCATCTCAGTTTTATTCAGAACCAGTTAATACATAAAATTGTTTAAATCCTCACAAATTAAAGTCTTAGTGACTATTTTGTAAGATTTGCACGATACTTCTGCATAACCGTGTTATCATTCTTCACCAATGAGCAATCTATCAAGTGCAACTTGTTCATCAATTCATGAAGAGAGCAATGTCCAAGAGAGAGAGATTTAGGAGTTCTGTTTGTGGCAAAAGCAGCTATTCAACTAAGAAACTGGCCACAGAAATGCCATTACCGCCATGTTTACTAATATACAGTTATTCAATATACATTTTTGTCCCATACAATTGAGAAGTTTCTAGAAAATTAGCCAAAGAAAAATGTTGTTATCTGATTTTAAGATACATTCCTTTCCATTTCTGTTTTTCTGTTTTAAAGTGAAATATACTTTGATATCACACACGGTTTCTACTTCATCTTTCCAATAAATCCATTTATCTGAAGTTCCACCTGAAAATTTATCTCCTCCTTACACAATGGAACATTAAATTTACCTTAATTACTGCACTTTCATTCTTTTGGGCCTCAGAATCCCAACAGCGCATATCCATCCCTATCCATGAGACAGTGAAAAGATTAGAAGCAACATGTTTGGAAAATTAAATTTGTCCTTCCAAGTTAACAATGCTCAACTTAACAAAACCTTTTTCTAACTACAAAGTACATGAAAAGCCTCAGTTTCTTCTTAACTTGACATTAAGTTCGACATTCAAAATGAACAGAACCAAAGGAAAGAGGCCAGCAAAAGAAAAGATGTATACCACCGCGGTGAAGCTGCTTGGAATATATGAAATCCAAACACTCATTAATCTTGGTTGTCTCAAACTTTACAAAATGGAGCCTCCCTCCCAGAATAGGAAAGCTCCTCCTATTACCATTGGAAACACCCAATCTCGCCTTGCCAGACTTCTTCCTCTCGTCATTGGCCGATCTGTCCTCATGTCTTGAAAAGTAAACCAATTTGATGAGAGATCCTGCATAGACCATTGACAAATACAAGATTTAGATAAATGATAATACAAATGGCTGCCAAAATATATCAAGCCTTCCATGGGCTATCCAAAGTTTAAAATGGCAAAAAGTAACAACAAGAAGAATGATAAAGATAGCATTGATGACATGATTACGATGCGTAAAACTGTTGAAAATCTGACCTAGTCAGTTATTGAGTCATGTGTTGGCAAATTTCTACTCAAAATTTAGGTTGTAATGTGAATCAAATGTCTTAAATCATGTCTACAACCTAAGAAAAACATAAACAGATATGGGACACGGATATGACACGAATGTGACACGACACGGACACGGAAAATCCTTAAAAATTAGGACACGGACACTGTGGGAACACAGCAAATAATAAATATATATATATAGAGAGAGATAGATAGATAGATAATGTTGTACTTTAAGAAATTAAGAGTAATATTACTTTTATCAACCTAATAATGAAAATATATATATGTGCTTTGCCGGGAAAAAGAAAGAACGATAGAAAGAGAAGAAAACAAAGAAACAAAGAGGATTAGGGTTTTGTTAGAAAAAGAATTAGGCTTAGTTAGTAAGAATCCATGGAAGAGAAAAAAATTCATGGAAACAAGAGGAAAGAAAAAGAGACACAAAAAGAATTTTGTTGTGAAAGGATAAAAAAGAAGTATCTAGGGTTTGTGAAGAAAAAGAAAAGAAGAGGACAAAGAAGAAGAGAGAAAAGAGGAGAGCAAGCGTGAAGCTTGGTCAGTGAGAGAATAAGAGAGAGAATCAAATATGATTGTGCAAGACTTTGAACCTTTGAACTAAAATATCTATATCTATACTATTATAAAAGTGTAACGACTTTTTTGAATTTCTTAACATTTTTCAGTTTTGTTTTAATCAAACAATGGAATTTAAAAAGAGCATTTACAACGAAATATGAAGATAGTATTTACTGATTTCATAAGCAAAGTGATGGTTCAGATTTCGTAACATTACATTTTCATAAGCAAGGTGATGGTTCAGTTTTCATAACATTAACGCTATTGAATTCATCAATGATACTTCTCTTCGTTTTCTATTTTCCACTTTCTCTAGATCCTTGGGCTTGTATCACTACTTAAGCCATGACATCTCCAGTTTTAATTGCATCCAAATAACAATTTCTACATATCTTCCATACCCCGTGCATCACTGATCATTTTTTTTCCGTAGTAAATTTCATCACTGTTCATTACCTTCCCATCACACCCAAGAATTGTGCCCAAGATCCTTTTGCAACAGTCATTTGCAGAAATGAAATGGGCTTGCATTGCAAAACAACAAAGATATCGGTGGTTGTGTTCAACCCATACATGCGAATTTTCTTTTGTCTGCTTTTTTATTTTATTTATTGTTATATTTGTTGATCATTATAGTATATAAGGTTTGATGATATTGAGATTTTAATTTGTTATTTGAAGATTCACACCAAAAGTTCATGATACAACTTCTCACTTTCTTTCTCTTCTTTGTCCATGGTCTCCAACAACAATGTGATGGTGCAACTAACTATGATAGAAAATATATGATTGATAGTTTCTCTTCTCTCTCCATTATATCAGATTATTGGATATAGCAAGTATATGGTTTACTGTTTAGCGAAAAATCTTACTTCTCTAACTGTTTGTTCTTGATGGTGCAACTAACTATGATAGATTTTGATTGATAACAGTTTGAATAACAATTGGACTCCAAAAGAGGCTGATTCATATTACTTAGCAGTCAATTTCTTATGGAAAAAAATTCAATTGGGTCCTCAACATATTTGGCCAGTAAGTCCATTTTCAATGCAAAAATTTGCCTCGAAAGATTTCATATACCATTTCTTTCTTTGCAATAAGTCTAATTCCAACAGTTTTTTTTTTTTTTTTTTTTTTTTTGAATCTAACTCTGGTATTGTCACATGTGTTTGTATCATCACTATGATATTGAAGTAGTAATATATATTTTTGTGACCGTTCAACGTTAGTGGAAACTATTCTCAATTTGTGAAATTGGATTTAAGAACACATAAAATTCGGGTGGGAAGTTGTTAAGGGGAAGATAATTGGATCCTTTCGAGCAGAGTTTGGGTGTGATGGAGGTGTAGCCGAAGCAACATCTATGTTTGAAAAAAAAAAAAAAAAAAGGGGCAAGGCGACATCTATTTTCAAAAAACAAAGAATATTCACTGTGAGAATGTGACAAAGCAATGGTTAATTATAAATCTAAATTTTTGGATTATAATTTTTAATTTGGAAGAGTGAATTACTTGAAAATTAATTGTGATATTTTCTTTTTTGAAGTGTGTAGATTAAAATTTAACTTCACTAAATTTACAATTTTCCTTCCACCATTGCATCAACCGCTAGTCAAGTAAAAAATTTCATAATTGATTAAAGACTTTTTTAATTGCACGTGCTCTTTACTAGTAAGCATAAGTATGTGATTGTTTAACATAGAATCGTTTTATAAAACAACAACTTTTAAATAATTTGTAATGACCATCATATTACTAAAAGCTATTAAACAACTCGTCATATTTGCAAGTGCCGTGTTGCCAGAGTGGACGGGTTGCTCCCCGTGTCTGGGAGCCCGTGTTGAGACTTGTACCCTCCACCTCCCCTCTAACAACTAACACTAACCACTAATCCCTAACATTCTTGCCCTGAAAAATAAAATGAAATTAAATTCAAATATCCTCACATTTACACTTCAACCTAACTTTCTTTCTAAAATTTCTTAAAATCCCCCAGTGTCATACTTATCCAAAAATAAATAAAAATCCCCAAGAACGGGACATGTGTGTCAGACAACCGTGTCGTGTTCCAATATTCAAGAAAGAAAAAAAAAAAAATCATACACGTTTTTTGGCGTGTCCGTGTCCAACACATATTCTTTGTCCTTTTAGCTGTGCCTCTGTTTCCTAGTTTACAACCAAAAGAAGATGATGAATATGAAGATCAATGAATAATACGCCGAAACTACCTTAAGCTCAATCACATATTTAAATTAACAGAAGATAAGACTTTAATGACCATTCATGACCTAAGTTTATCTTTGAAAGGTTCAAAAATATTGTTTTAAAAAGGTTTTTCAAAAGTAGGGTTTTTGATAAAAAGAATTTATACGGAATCAATGTAAGTTTTTAAACAGGGAATTTATAGAAACATAAATGTTCAATTAAAATTGAATGATCAATTAGTGGTTTTCGATAGCATGCTCAATCATTGAAGTCCAAAATGTCTTACCCATGGCTCGCCAAACGAACCGGTTCGCACCGGAAATGGCCAAAATCGGTTCCGTTACAACCCAGTTTATCGGGGTGTGTACAGATTCACATATGAACCGGCCGGTTCAAAACGTACCGGCTGGTTTTAGACCAAACCGACCTTTTTTTGAGTAATAGCCCAATCATAAACCGGCCTACAAACTTTAAATTTAAAAACGTTATATATGGGCCTTTAAATTAGTAGCCCAGCTAACTTTTAGAACTTTAAAAATGGGCCTCTAAATTAGAGGCCCGCCTACCTAAACTTTAACTGATTAGGCATTGGTTTTATAAGCAGAGTTATTCACACCTTCTATTAAAATTTCAGATACGGGACAATGACTTGTACCAGAGTTAGCCTTCACAAGCTTCTTTTATCTATAGACTTGTTCACATCCATACAAAGGGTATTATGTGAGGATTTGCTTTCTCTATCAAAACTTCTAGTAACCTAATAGAGAAAACCATCTATGTATCTGGACTTGTACAGAGTGTAATTTTTAATTTTATTTTTGATCTTTTACTTCTCATATGTTATACTAGTATATGATATGAAATTTCATCCTTTTCATAATTGATTTTATTTTTCTTCATTAATTTTGTAAAAAGTATAATTACTAAGCCTTTTTAATAAATAAAAAAAACATTGACTCAAACTCATTAATATCTTATTACTAAATGATGCTACAAAATTCATTAAAATTCACCAAAATTAATTAAAAAATTAATCTTTATCGAATTATGTTAAAAGAACCCTGTATCGGTGTATTTTGATCATCATGTGTGAGTTTTAAAAAAATTCATGACTGCGATAACCAATACCGTTATGTAACACCGATACTCGTTCGAGTCCGTTACACCGCGACCGCAACCAATACCGCAACTGTGAACCATGGTCTTAACCAAAATGCTCCATCAATTGAAATTTAAACAGTCATTTTCGATAAAATGCTTGATTAGTCAAATCAATGCCAGGGTCTCTCGATCAACGTCTCGATTGATCAACTTATATGAAAACTATTTTTTTGAAAACAATGTCAAAACAAAATGTAAAGAGGATCTAGCTTCCTATTTCTCTTAGGACTCTTATTGTTAGCAGATATGATAGCCATGATTAATGGAATGACTTACCGTATTAGCATAGATTTGATTATGCTATAGAATATAATGTGATTGATTTAATTTCCTTTCTTGTAATATGAACATGTGCTCTTTTTATCTATAAATACTAGAGCTGTGAATGAGTGATTATCTCATTCAAACCTTTACACAATTCTCTCATTTTCTTCTTTATATATTTCGACTATTATATTGGATATTTATATAGGATTACAGTCAGTCTAGGGTGCTTCTCACAGGGTTTTTAACTCATACGTTTATTGAGAAATTTTATAATTTTTAGAGCGACCTTGAGAACCAATCTAAAATTTTTCATAGACTAAGGTATTCCATGTGATTGACAGAATCACAGTAAGAAGCAGAATAGAAATTATCAAACAAAGCATCAACCGGGTGGTTCGTAAATAACAAGTTCAATGGACATGACTAATCATTGGAGATCAAAGTACTAGATGAAGAGTGGACTGATTCAGGACCGAGTTCACTGAAGAAACAGCACAGATCGTGGTGGATTGTTTGGCATGAGTCTAAATCAAAGGTAAATAGGAGATTCTTGGTTTAGAGTATTGTTAAACTAATTGTAAACCCTTCTTCACAATGGATTTGATCTAATTGTATCTTTTTTTTCTTTACTTACTGCTTTATGTGCTTGTGATTGATGTTGAGACATATGATAACCTAATCAAAAAGAAAATTGATCAAAGCACCATGGTAAATTTGAAAACTTAGTAATTCACAAATTAATATCCATAACACTTATTCACCTCCCCTCTAGATCTGATTAAATGGTCCTTAGATTTCTCAATTGGTTTCAGAGCATATTGATTGTGAATTCTCAGTAACCAATTGCCATATAAACTCCTACCATTACTAATATTCTCTACTAAAGGAGAACAGATGCTGTGATAAGCTTTTAAACAACTACAACTAACAAGACAGCCATATCCAAGGGAAAGGAAATGTCAATTTCCCTACGATGTTACTAAAAGATTGCCATGCCATTTCGAATGTCCTTGATGGAGCCATGAGGGAATGGAATTAAACTTGCAATTATTAAAACCAATAAGAGAGAGAAACAACATTAGAAAGACTACCAAGTAATGTGCCTATCTGAAAAAACACATATAAGTTCTGGAAAAACAAAATGGTGAGTAATTAATCAAACTTGCTTCTTCTCAAGTAAAAATAAATAAATAAATAAAATAAAAAGAATTATAAGTGGTTTCAATTCAAAACGAGTTTTTTGTAACATTGAGCAGTTTCAATTTTTAGTTCTCAATATATTTTCTCTTTTGGTAGATATTGTTCTTAAGAGATTGCAAAATGCTGAACCAGGTAATCCCATTTTGGAAACAGCAAAGTGCAACGGCATGTAGAAATGAAGCAGAAGAAAGATGAACACTAAAATGACTAGTGGAAGTATAAGAGGTCTTGGAAAGAAACACAAACTGAGATATGCAGTGTCCAAGAAAACCATTCAAGGAGAGAGAGACAGAGAGAGAGAGAGTACTTCGTTGTACACCAAACCAAATTTTCTTTTTAAAATCTTCACTACCTCAAAGCCATGAAAAAGATGGCACAAGAATCAACTAAAGGAAATATATTAACAAAGAAACAAATTCAAAGCCGACAAAAAATATTCAAAACTAAAGCACAAGATTTAGTAAAAAGAGTCAATCTATTCAAAATCAAAGGTGAAGAAACAATTATGAATAAGCAAATGAGCATATTATAACCATTACCAATCAATAGTCAACCAATATCAAAGAGAAGTCACAATTAAGCCAAAACTAATACAACTATATATCACTAACAAAAAGAATGGTAGAAGAAAACAGAGGTGGTGAGAAAATTCACCTCCAATGTCCAAAGCCAAATGAGATATATCATCAGACTGATTAGGCAACAGAATTGTGGGGTCCCTCTCCTCGAAATTCCCTTGAATAGCAGCCCGGCTGACGTCGAGCTGCGGACGAGAAGTAGACCGGTGAATGGAACTGCCGGCAGGGGGAGCCATCTCTCTCTCTTCTCCTTCTATCTGGATAATATCTCTGCTCAGCTTATGCGTATTTTCTTCATTTATATCGTCAATACCAAGAAGTTGGTGGTCCTTTGTTAGACCAGCCATTACCCCCAAAATACTCTCCCACCTGCCGCCTAACCCCGACCCCAAACTGTTCGTGGTTGGTCAAAGTCCAATTTAGTCACTGTCCTATCTATATTCAGACAAAATTGCCCAAAATATTATAATCAAAAACCCAGAAAAAGCAATGAAGAACAAATCACCAAAGCTATATATATATATATATTATTGAGCTGTAAAAGCTAATACTGCAACTTAAGTATATACAGATTCAATATTTAAGCAAAACCCATGATGGAAAAAATAAAAAGAAAACCCAAAATTTAAATTTTTTAAAATAAAATAAAATAAAATAAAATAAAATAAAATAAAATTAAAAAAATCAGAATTTGTACAAAAGCAAACCCAATTTTGGGGTTTCTGAAAATAGCTAAAATTCACCCTTTTTTTTTTTTTTTTTTTGTTGAAAGCTAAGACTCACACTTTTTTGACTTCCATTCAATGAAGTTGGTGAATGAATATATACTATACACATATATATTGAGCGGTAAAAGCTAATACTGCTACTTAAGCATATAGATTCAATATTTAAGCAAAAACCCACGACGAAAAAAAAAATGAAAAAAAAAAAAAAAAGCCCAAATTTTAATTAGAAAAAAAAAAAAAAAAAAAAAAAATCAGAATTTGAACAAAAGCAAAACCCAACTCTGGGGTTTCTAAAAATTAGCCAAGATTCAAACTTTTGCGACTGACATTCAACGAAGACGGTGAATCAAATTACATTAAACCTCTCAATAATCTTTCTCTTCTTTTTTTTTTTTTTAACTTTGTTCTGCTAAATTGTTGAAACCCGACAAAGAAAGCGACTCTAGACCATCTAACATTAACTCAAAAATTGAAAATAAATGAGAAAGAATGAGAACCACATGTTAATCGCAAGGAACAATGGAAGATTGATGAACAGCAAAATGAAATAGTTCTGCTCTTTGGATGAATAGAGAAATTAAACAACTAAAAAGGTGAAAAGGACTAACTTTGTTAGTTGGATTGCTGATGATAAGTAATCTGATACGTCGAGCGCGTGAAAGAGAAGAGGCGAGTAATGAAGTAATCACAGTGTAGACCAAGGCAAGGGAGAAAAAAAATATAGTACGCGGTATCTTCTTTTTCTTTTAAATTAATCATGATGCGATTGTTGAAAAAAAAAAAAAAAAAAATTAAAAGTAAAAATAAATAGGACAAAAAATTTAGACAAGGTAAAAGAGGTCGAGTGGGGGCGGTCATTGATTTTTTTTATTTCTTTTTTTCTTTTTGCCCTTTTTTTTATGTTATGCCTATGCATACTTTGACTTGTCACAATCATACTTAGGGTCTGTTTGGTGTTTGTTCTACCTGTTCTACCTTCTTCCCAAAATGCTACAGTATCACTATTCTGACCCAAAACTTGTTTGGCATGGCTTGTAGTGTTTTCAACAGTGGTGGAACATTTTGGAAGAATGGCCCAAAAGTTGGAACAAAATATCTGTGTTCTGCCTTGTTCCCAAAATGAGGCCGGCCCATTAATAACTGTAGCGGGTGGAACAACAACCCAAACTTGTTCCATTTTGAGAACAGGTATAAAGAGAATCGGTGGAACATTCCTAGGGTTTTTTGCAAGGCGATTCAGAGGCGATTCACAATGCTGTACTTGTCACAAAAGTGGGGTTGAAATCAACACTGTTGAAACTGATCTGAAGCTTTCCGAGAGTCGTCTTCTTCTCACCGGTGAGCTCCTCTACTTCTTCTTCATCAGAATTCGTTGTGCTCTGTATAAAATTGGTATTGTTGTTTGAAGATCGGGCTTCAAATCGACCAGTGTGTATGCAGATCTGAAGAGAAACTCCCTCTGTCTCACCTCTGCTCTGCTTTTTTCGGCAAACCCAAGCTTCGCCGCTGCTCTCTGCACTCTCGGATTCACAGGCGATTCTCAGTCTATTACTTTCATCGTCGACACCAAGTGAGTTTTTATCATTTTGGAGTTCTTAAAAAATCTTGACTAAGGTAGTTATTCACCAAATCTCGTTTTCCATTTCTGGTTATGTGTGTGAGCGTATATTTATATTTGTGTGTATATACACACACACTATCACACATATGTATATATATGGATACATGGATGAATGAGACTCAAAATGTTTACTATTTTTGTTGATTCTCTCTTTTGTTCTCAACTATTTGGAAAGTTGAAGCTTGTTTTGTAGCTTAAAAAAATGCCTGAAGATGAGACGTTTTGGAATTTTGATTTTTGAAAATGGAAGAATCGAGCGGTTTTCTGTTTTGCCCTGTTTGGTTTCTAGGAAAATGTTGGGATAACGATGGATATTGAGCTTTGATTCTTGCAGTCAAGCAAAAATCTCCATTCATCTTTTCGCATTACAACCTGTGTTTCGCTGATGCCACTTTTTAACTTTTACTCATTTGGAATTCGGTAAAATAGTATATTCTATAGCTTCTTTTCTACTGCTTTGTACTGTTTTATGAGCAACCAAACACTGATTGCTCATATTTGGATTCCCCGCAAATGAAGCAATAATACAGTCTACTTTTGTAGTCCAACACTGAATTTACTTCACAAAATATTGTACACTGCATAATCCTGTCAAGCTTTTTCTCGTGCACTGCATAATCCTTTTATTGTGCACTGCATAATCCTGTCAAGCTTCTTATGAATGACTTGTCACAACCCATTGCAAAACAGTATATTCTATAGCTTATGTTCTACTGAATTTAAATCACAAAAAATTGTAGTCTCACTATATTATAGGGATTATAGACATATGCAGCAGTGAGATCATTTGATTGATAAAAATCTTGATAAGCCACTTAGGAAAAAAAAATAAAAAATCATGATAAGCGAGTTACTTCCGGTTAGAAGTTTAAGGTATCCTATAAGAGCAATCAGGGGGGGGGGGGTAGAAAAAGTATACAAAGTTATATCAATTGTGTGAATGACTTTAATTTGTTACTCCACTTAGTCCAACCATAAAATAAGATATTAACTATTCAAATATTTTAACACGTATTCGAGCTGTATTTACACATTCAAAAAAATATGCGAGTGTCATATTATTATGCCAGCTTAGTAAATGTATTCGTACTTTCTTAATGGCATATTACAGTTATTAATGACCCTTTTAACACATTCTTATTAAAACTATGTAATTAGATGGATATCAATACTGATAATGTGGTGGGAGAAGAAATAGAGGACCTTACAGACAATAGCGATGATGGAAAACTAGTATGGGATGATTCTCAGCTTGAAGCTCTCATCATCTATATGGAGGAAGAAGTGAAGGTTGGTAATCGGAATAACACAACTTTTAGTCTAATTGGTTGGAAGAATATACTAAAAGGCATGACGGACCGTACAGGTAAAAAGTATGTACCGAAATAACTTAAGAGCAAATTCAACTACGTGAGGGTAGACTACAAAGCCTTTGTGAGTTTGTTAGGAGAAACAGGCGTGGGATACAATGTTGAGATAGGCATGGTTATAGTTGAAAATGAAAGATGGACTAGATTGATCAAGGTTAGTTATTCAAATAAATGTATGTTGATTTTACAAAAAAGTATACTTAACTTAATATTAATAGTAATTTAATAATTTGTAGGTGAATGCCCAATATGGTAAGTATCGAAAGAAGCCATGCAATCATTTTGACAAGCTCACCACCATATTTGGAGGCACACACCCTACAGGTGCACATGTCGATACTTCTTACAGTCCACCCATTATCAACCAAGCCCCCACACACCATGCAGGCATACATACCTCATTTGACCTTAATGATGATTTTGCTGAGTTAGGCGGTCATGAATTCAGTCGTTCTCCTGAACCTCATGGTAAGAAACCAAAGAGAGGGAGTTTTGCCTCCACAATCAGCGATGTCATGCACTATCTGAAAGAGACTTAGGGCCCGTTTGGCATGCGTTTTGCTTTAAGCATTTTGTTTTTGGCTAAAACTGAAACAATGTTTTTGTTATTGGAGTGTTTTGGCAAAAATCGGAAACACGTTTGGGAACGATATTTTGTTGTGGAAATGTCGGAAACAGAAACATAAAAAACATGTTTAGTAAGCCATGTGTTTCAAGAATTTTGAAAATAAAACATATTCGGTAACTCCAACGGTTGTAAAAAAAAAAAAAAAAAAAAAAAAAAAAAAAAAAAAAAAAAAAAAAAAAAACATGTTTGGTTATCATTGTTTTTAATTTATTTTTATAAATTTTAAATATATTTATAAATTTATTTCTATATAAATAATTTATATATTTTTAATAAATATATTGAAATTTGAACACACAAACATATATATATATATATGTATATATATGTATATGTATTATATATATATATAACCAAAGTGTAATTACAGAAGCAACTGCTTCAGCGAGACCAATGTTTTGGCATCAACTTGAGTCTTGATGACATGTAGAGTTCAATCTTTTACTGTGTTCTTATGATCTAGATATTAAGATCACCTTTTTCATTTCTAATCCATCTATTTGGAGTCAAACTTCACAAAACATCTATTAAGGAGACATAACATAAAAAAATAAAAATAAAATAAAAAAAGCACCCTGCTAGAATGGAAGCTTGCAAGGAAGCTTCTCAAATCATACTCATTCTTCTGTATTAGGAAAAATGACAAAAAAATTGAGAACAAATTAAACAGTAGATTAAATTAAACATGAGATATAATTCAAAGTTCAAACACAATTCACCTTATTGTTTACAAATTTCAACAATAGGATTTAAAAACGAAGAAAAAGATGCTTAACAAATAAAAAGATGTTTCCTTATGTTTTCCTTATAGGAGACATATTTCAAAAAACACAAATTTCACTTCCATGGAACAAGCTTCAATAGTAGGACACGTCATCTTCATAACAACACACATCACCTTTAAGAGAGTATCAACACACTTCACATCTGTAATGGTAGAATTTAAGTTGAAAAATATTAACAATAATATTATACAGTAATAGTAATAGTAAAAGCAAAATAGTAACAGCAAAAATGATATATATTACATATATATATTACAAGCCCACAATAGCAACAAATATATTACATATAAAAAAAAACATACCATCAATTTCAGGAAGATCAAGATTGCCTAAGAGAATTCCAGATTCGATTAATAATAGTATTACGCAACTGATCCATTTCTCGAGGAGGATCGCCACCATCAAATAAATCATTAGGCTGATATTGATTTCTAATGAAGTTGTGTAAAAAACACATCGGCTAACGGGATTGAAGCCCAGGTCTCCATGGCAACAACTTATTTATTAAAAAAATCAAATAACAGCATATCCCTCAAAATGCCTATTATCTACCTAGCATGAACTCATGGTTCCTCAACACCTCAGCAATGAGCTTGCAAGAGAGAGCACCAAATTTCACAAGTTCCATGCAAAAATTCAGATTACTAAATAGTTCATCATTGGGATATGAACATGTAAAAGCAAAATTATAGAAGATTTGTTTAAATCATGAAAATTGATGAGGGAGACATAAAATTTAACATTGGTATAATAGATGCACAATATGCCAAAGTCAAAACAAGTGACCTCAGTAAATAAATTTAGTAGAAATTATATAACAAAACAACCATTTTTAAATTAATATTATTGCTATAAGTTTCTCCAAACAATGAATCATGCCAAGTGATTGAAGCCCAGGTCTCCATGGCAACAACTTATTTATTAAAAAAATTATCTTATAATTCTAGATAAAGCTAAAATATCTAAAACCCATACGACAAGTGGAGTCTTATGACACAATACATTGTAGTACAATAAAGCATCATAAGTACATTTGTGCTAAAAAAATGAAGCCAAAAAGAAAAAAGAAAAAGAAAATATTAAAATCAGATAACAGCATATCCCTCAAAATGCCTATTATCTACCTAGCATGAACTCATGGTTCCTCAAGCCCAGTAATGAGCTTGCAAGAGAGAGCACCA